CACATTGTTTGTAGAAGTTTGTCCCAGCAGCGAGAACATAGACATTGTCCATTTCCAGAAGGTATGACGGCGGTTCAGGAATGATTCCTGATATACGTTTGAACAGGGAATTGAAATCATTCACTTGAGTCTTTGAGTTGCAGGTCTCACGACAGCCTTCGTTTAGTATATTTGTCAAATTCAGAAAGTTTCAAATAATACCTCCTACTAAGTATATATTTACCAACATCTTCAAGTTCCTCATAAATAGTTAAACTGGAACTGAGGATTTGCAAACAGCGTTGAAACTATAATGTATCCTTTTCATGTTGAAATAAAATCAAAAGCACATCTTTTGTCACAAATACGGAAATCTACAGGAACATATACAGGCGCATATTGAATAATACGACACAATGCTCCCTGTCATAGAATGAGAGCTCACTTGGACACATTTCGCGCACATGTAGTGGTAGCCCACTGAGATATCATGCTGCAGTTTAATATGGATACCACACTCAGAAACAATATACTGACTCCAGTCCTTGTTTTAGCCCCTTAATGCCGAGCACCCTGAAAGGTAACAACAAGTACCGTCTTTTAACGTCTTTTGGTATGAAACGACCGGGGATCGAGCCCCCGAGTTTCCGCTCTCCGGGGGGACGATCTATCCACTGCTGTCCACTACTGTCTTGCTGTGGTGTATATGAATGGTCGTTCTAATATATACATCAGCATTGTTCAGGACGCTTGTAGATGTGTATTAATGTTTAAATAACAAAAACCTACTATTTGATAAGATATTAATTTGAGTGTTGCTAAATGTATTTTGATCTCATTTCATTTTCATATATCTGATGGTTCGACGTTGAGCTATGACTCTACACTGATTTCCTGACGTATTGTTCATCAACGGTCAAATAGACCATTCCCTTCCACTGCTCTGATCTCCATGTATGTAGAAATAAAAGTGACCAATGAAACAGCCTCATCTGATTCATATTTAGATATATGCCGCAGGAGTGACAAACATATTATCCACAAGACCGTATGACAAGAGGGCTGACTTTTCTTACGAGTCGATTTCCAAATTGAAACAATGTGTTAACCCAGAAATCTGCACGTAAAAGAACCTAGGGTGAAAACCAACCAACAACCAACGACCAACAAATGGTATACAATTAACCACTGTATTATAAAAAATCGCTAGGTTTACAAATCAAAACAAATTACTACAGTCGCTGTTAAACAATAACATACACTGCCACGTAACACTTTAACTTTCCAATAGTCAACTTTCCAGTTAAATCTTGAAATATATAACTATGACACAACACGACTATTATGTCTTAGTGTCATATCATAAACTGTCAACATATAATATTGTATATATATTCCTAAACCTGTCAACACACCTTGATATGGTTCATATATTGTAATACAATGAGACCATACTTACGACACAAAACATCATTTGGAGAAGGAAAGCCCAGGGAATGTAAATTTCAGGTTTTACCATGCAATGAATGAGTGAATGAGTGAGTATGTATGTACGGCGGGGGAATGACGTCAAATAGAAATGACGTCACAGCTGAAGATCATTCGACATTGACGTCATTCGACAAATTGTGGTTCCGCTGCTGTTGCGACTTGCTGTCTTTACACATGTATGTAAACACTAAAATTCGTCTCTGTATGTAGCCATCTGGTTCATGTCATACTATATTTACGACACTCGTGCCTAAATACCGGAATTTAGACACTCGCGTCGTAAACGTAGTATTGCACGAACACTCATGTAATCATGTAAGTTAAGCACACCCTAATATATTTCATTATTGTTTGGTCCAAATATTTGTAACAGTCGTGAAAGATATAATTATGGGAAGAATTATGTTTTCTCGAGATGATGTTATCAGTCATGCGTGACGAAAGGTCACGTGGCATGCATGGTATGCCCGTGCAGCATGCTACCCTCGATTTTCTCTAAAAGCAGTATATCCAAACGTTAAAATTGCTTTCTTACGGTCGGTTTTAAACAGTTATTCCATGACATTGTATGACCACGACACGAAGGCGATTGTCAAACGCCACGAGATGGCAAATAATCGGCATGCACAACACAGGAATGTCGCGTAATGCCATTGGTCGGAATTTGGGTATTATCACACTGTCGTAAGCCGTTTAGTCGAGAAACATGCTCAGACCGGTGAGGTACAGGACCGTTCCATATCCGGAACAACTCCTGTGACGACACATCGCGAAGACAGGGACCTTCTTCGTCTCATACGCCGAGAACCCTTTTAACAAGGACTCGTCTGAAACAGCTGTGGTTGCCAAATCGTCGTTTCAGCACCAGAGCTGTCAGGAACCGGCTGAAAGCAGCAGGACTGAGGGTTAGACGAGTCATAAAGCGTCCCTTGTTGAGAGATCACCAAAAGCTGCTCGTTTAGCATGGTGTATTGCGCGACAGAACTGGAATCTTGGAGAAGGGTCAATTAGTCAGACGAAAGTCGCTTTCTGCTCCACGTCACTGATGGAAGAACGAGAGTTTAGAGGCACCGGAACACGGCCTACAACACCAAGAACATTAAACCGACTGTTGCATTGGGCGGGGGCTCGGTAATGGTTTGGGGCTGTATCTCTCACGATTGCAGGTTGGATTTAGTCACCATAAGGTCACAATAAGTCACCAGTGTACGTTTCAAGCGTTAAAACGCCGTGATATAACTGGAATACTGTTAAAAGCGGCGTTAAACCCAACTCACTCACTCACTCACTCAAGCGTTAAATTTTAGAATATTTCTCAGAAAGCCAGTACGCAGACAACAATGTGAGAGTCAAACTGGAAGAAATAAAAAAATAGGTTTATACAACTATTTCACAAAGTGCACAAAAGATTAAATATGAAATCTAACTTGTGCATAGGCTTTTCAGTGCTATGATACTATATATAGTTTTCATGACTTGTATCGCTTGCTTGTCGAAATAGAACAGGTTTACACAATGGTTGACCTTGCTGACGGCGTATTTTCTGACGCTGAGGTCGTGCACTGTTGTTCGTGTATTCAGACATTGTTCTAAAGCTTTCTCGTGCCCCTGCACCATTGCTGAATTGCCACTCTTACGAAAGGACGAGTCTCGTCCTGCTTTCTGTTCGGATCAACTTTCGTCCCGGTCCGTTAAATATTTTGACAGCGATACGACGCACGTTTGAAGGTTGTTTGAAAGACTGTTAAGTCGGTCGGTCAGACTGCTTGTTTGTGCTTGCAGTCTGGTTGTGTGCATTTGGAGGAGCTACACTTATAGAGACAACGCCTTTGAATGTCAGTGTATACGAATGTGTGTTCATGCATACTGATGTTGATAGACTAATGATGAATTGTCACCACTACTATTATATCAAGCTCATTTGCGAGCGGACACATTCACGAACACGACGTCTTGTATCTTTAATATGGCCTCATTGTATTCCAATTTTTATTTGAGTATGTCATATGAAGATATGTTGCCTGCTTTATGCTTCATTTGCAGCTGTTCTTGTGCGATCTGTCTTATTTTTCATGTGACATGTCACTATAATGAACGGTTGCCTATATACATGTTTCAATTCAGTTACATGTTATATAGCACAATTATATGTTGAGACTTCACAGGAAGTGTTTAGCAAAGGTACTAGTAGGAACATTTCAGACATTTTAGCTGTGTTGTGTCGCGGTTATGCATTTCAAGGTGTAACTGGTCAAATATTTTCATTTCAAATTTGTTTCTCCAAATTGGCTGATTGGCTAATTTCAGTTTCGAATTTCAGTTTATGAATCTTTATTGTAGTTGGAGAAAACATGTTAATAATAAATATAGGCTAAACATATTTTCCAAAATCAGAAAAAATCTGAACATAAGTGTAAGTCAATTGTACGATTCCGTCTATACTATAAACATGTGTTCATGAATCGTTGTTAAATAGTGATGGTGCCAGGTGTCTGCAAAAAATGGGAGCGTATCCTACCCGTCACAAACACATACAAAGCCAAGGAAACTGTTCACCTGAAAAAACAACAATACAGAAACATATAAGCAAAATAGGGAATTGGATCGGACATCATTTTTATCCGGGTTGCTTCAAATATGGAAATGTCCTCCTTATGTTTACCATAGAACTTTGTGGAAGCCTTACTAAGGCATTGAATGTTGTCATGGTCAAACGACTTTTGAGCAAGAGTTGTATGGCGCTCTTTAAAATCTTCGTACAAGAGCACGCTTTACCTCAATATTAAAGGCTGGAGATTCTTGAGGTTCTTGAACAGCAGTCGAAATAAAGGGAAAATTGACTTTTGGAAAGATAAAGTCATCCATCTTCTCGTACAGCTTTGTGGGGAGGGGAGTTTTCGTCACTCCTTACAATGATAAATATGATGCAGATGTGACAGCTAGAACGCCGAGGTTCAAGAAAACTATTGACTTTTTATTGACTATTTATGTAAAAAGAAATACAACGTGAAACCGTCACTGCTACACAGATCTCTTTCATTTCCAGGTCAGGTGGGTAAAACAGTGGAAGGGAATGAGCTATTTGACCATTATTGAACAAAACGTCAGGAAGCCAGTATACAATCATGGAGAGTCAACGTCGAACTATCAGAAACCTGAAAATGAAATCAGATCAAAATACATTTAGCAACTACTAAATTTGGTAACTAATATCCAATCAAATAGTACTATGTTTATCATTATTCAGTATCTACAATCATCCTCAACAAGATCACTAAGACTAACTATAACCAGTCATCTTCAGCACAAGTAATCGCTAATTCCTCATCTAAGAAGGGACAGTCGTGTGGCGATATGCATGATACTTCTTATCAATAATTATCCTCAAATTTATACTCATGTAGGACTGTATGTCTTTGTTTGGTAACATAAATACAGGCCATTTGTGCGCTATATGTATACTTAGAAGTGTGTATTTGTTCTACGCATGAAATTGGTTATGCTTTTTTATACATTCATCATTTTTACAGATATAACAAAAGAAGACTGACGTAAGACCTGCATCTCAAGGATGTCCGTCCGTATACTCTCTTCAGCGATACGAACACATTTACATATTCATAAAATACATACAGCTGTATCTGTGAGATACTATGCAGGTCGCCCAAGAGCATATGTGCCATATGGAAAAACAGGAGACGGAAATTATGGATCAACACTCGGAAAGCAGAATGCTGGCTACATGGAACCAGTACGAGACAAGATCCTTAACTTGGTCAAATCCATTACATTCACTGCCAAAGACTCAGTGTTCAACATAGGCGACTATGGCGCGGCTGATGGCTCTGCTTCGATGGCCATCATTGGGCAGATGTTGGCAACTCTGAAAGATCAGCACGGTCCAGAGGCACAATTCCAGGTCATCTATGAAGACTCGGAAGTGAATGATTTCAATTCCCTGTTCAAACGTATGTCAGGAATCATTCCCGAACCTCCTTCATACCTTCTGGAAATGGACAATGTCTATGTTCTCGCTGCTGGGACCAACTTCTACAAACAATGTGTACCTTCAAATTCAATGCATTTCATCATGAGTTTGGTCGCTGTTCACTGGCTGTCGAAGACTCCAACAAACTTTAAGGACTCAATTTACAAAAAAACCTGAGATTAGTGCTGAGGAGAAGATGGCTTTAGAAAAACAGTCTGAGATCGACTTCGAGACCTTCTTACTTTTGAGAAGTCGAGAAATGAAAAAGGGAGGCCTGCTTGTTCTTGGTGCGGCATGTGAGACTGTAGACAAGAGCAATGGAAAAATCAAGTATGTTGTTGAGACGTTCATAACGTTACTCACTAAGGTTTGGCAGGAATATAGAGAATCTGGGAAAATCTCAAAAGAATTTTTTTTAATACAAATTTGTCAGTTTGCCTTCGCAGCATGTCTCAGCTGAGAAAACTATTCGATGACAAAATGTCAGCAGTTTCCAAATCCGGACTCTGTCTCTTGTCAGCTGAAACGGTTATCAACCCTGACATATTTTACACAACATGGAGGGAAAAGAAAGACAAGGAAGGGATTGATGACAGGGAGGAATTTGCTCGGATGTACACATCGGCCCATAGGAACTGGGGCAATAGCACCTTTATGAACGGCCTCTCAGACTCCCGCTCACAGGAGGAGAAGAAGAAGATAGTGGATGAGTTCTATGACAGTGTTGAAAAACGAATTTCAAAGCTGAGCCCCGAAGAATTCAAGGATGATTTGCAATTCACATATCTTGTGATCAGAAAAGAATAGTCAGCTTACAAGCCTCAAGAAGAGCAAGACTTTGTATCATGACCACATACATACATATATGCATAATAACTAATACTATGTTATCGATTTTAATTCTTTAATGTCCCACAATACTTGAAATTTCAAGAAACACGTTTCAATTTCCTTCAGGAACACCATTTCACCCAAATTGTTTAACTTTAGGAACGTGTTGCAGGATATGGATTTGGCATCTTGTGATGTAATTCCACTACTTGTGGCTGCCAAGGCTGATTATACTGCTTCCAACACGTTGGTCATGCATTCTAACTGGTGACTTCTCTAGTATTTGACAACCTTCGTCAGTTATTCAAATGTGAATCAACATATCGTAAGGAGCCTCCTGTCCGTTGAGATTACAACTTTAAAATAATTATGGATACTGTCAAAGAATCTGCCAACACATTATTCCCGAGAGCAGAGGAACCTGTCTTTCAGAGTGTGTTAGGTCAGTACGTGATGTTGTCATTGGGAGAATGAAATTGAAGAATGGGAACCAGAACTTGAGTAAATATATTCTGTTCAAACCAGATGTCATCCAAAGTCTGGTTTCCCTCCCTATATGAAATGTTTGCAGTTTGTCCCACTGCAAAGGTCTCAAATAACATAACCATTATATCTTATGTCATTACAATTAATAACATTAGAGGAAAATATGAAGAGTGTATATCATTTTATTGAGGACAGAACAGGATTACATGCTTCTCATCTTCTAAAACAGAGCATTTAATACAAAGAATATCATTAATATGTACAGTACTTCAACGTATCCGTAGTGTCTGAAAGCCTAATGCATCATACCCACTTCCAGATTGTTAATAACTTCTATGTCATATGTGCAAATATCAATAGACAGATTTGTCACCGACGTATTGAGCAAACCATAAGAAAGGCAGAGTAGCCCAATTTGGGTATGTTCGATTGCAGGTTTGTTGCAGCGTATCATATTATTGAAATGTCTTGTGGCAGTGAAACCTGATTGAGTCAGTCCCGAATAAGACTCACTAATTGCGTAATATCTCTTTGTGTATATTCTCATATCTCACTTACATAAGTACAATTTCCTGATTAAATTTTCGAAAGCATTTATGGCGCACACATCGTGTTTACATAGTAAAGTTTTTTTCAGAATGAGAGCTTTGCAGTGCGACGAAAGTGTGCTTACATGCCTGTGTCAAAACAATTTTTAAGAGTTGTAATTAATTCCAGATATGTGTGTGCGTTAAAAACTTTAATTCCCCTCCCATTATATGCATAATGCTCATATTCTGATAATTATCCCCTGTTTCTAAATACTATAATCTTTGTTTACCATGATTTATTTAAATTCCCCACTTAAGTACAATACTGGTGCAAACAGTCTAAATATCTTTGTAAGCTTTTTGTAGAATCAACTGTAAGTATCAGCTCATCTGCAAATAATTGAGGAATAATGAGTTACATTTCCTCCAATGCATATTACCATTAACAAAACTGACTGCACAAACATTGAAGAAGTACTATCAGAACCCCTTTGGTGTAACCATCAGTTTAAAAAACCGATTTCATTATAAGAAAATATTTTAAGGGAATTTACACTATGAAAGATCTCTGTAATGAAGATGAAATAATGCCCTTTAGTGAACTGAAAAGAAAATATTAAATCAAAGGCACAATTATTGACTTTTACCAAGTTCTTTTAAAAACATACCAAAATCCTGGAAAGATACTATTAGAAATAATCACATTATCTTACATAATCAACATTTAAATACAACTTTGATGGACTTACTTGTAGCGCCTAAAGGCTCCAGATATTTTTGTATGCGTGTTTTAGTGCTGACATTGATTTAATGTTGCTGATATGACTCATGTCATTTGAATTGTTAGTGCTGTAAATAAACATATGAGTAACAGTTTGCGGTGTTCTTTCCTTACTCCTTACTGGCTGACAAATGGGTGAAGAAAGGACTGAGTCGTAGGTAACAGGCATGGGATTAGTAATGAATCAACCATTACTAAAAGTGTCTAACAAATGGGATGTCTGACAGATGGGAGGATCACCAAATTTACGGGTCACCAATTCTCCAACAATGAATGTAAAGACACTGGACAACGACGACCACCGGACTTTGTTGGATGGTGACGGAAGCCAGACAATTAAGCGAGAGGGAAACGGTACGGTCACTAGACAGTGACTGTACTGTTTTTCTCCTTTTTTCCAACATTTGAACTATTGGGTTCACGTTTCTTTGTTCTGACATATGTTGATACCTTTGCCATCAAGGCTCATATGACCCCACCCCCCGTCATAAAGTTGCCCTTTCTAGTGAATTCAATATGAAATCGGCTATTAACTCAAGATGTGAAAGTGTTTCATGTTATATTTCCTGAAAGATGAGGATAAGTTGTCCTGCTTTTGATTTACAAGAAGTTAGATCAACAGTTGAAGTCAAGTTTTTGAAGATAGCAAATGGTAGTTTTCAATCGAACTGCCACCAAAACTACATCATTGAATTCTAAGTCGACAGTCTTGGTGTTTTCGTTTGCTGGTTAGCTTTTACAGGTCAAAAGCAAAGTTAATCGCATTACTTTTGTGGCGCATTTTAGGCTGTCATACAGTTCCTAAAACAAATATATCCAATACAGCCGATGCAAGTCAATCATATTTGGCGAGACTAGATTACTGCAGTTATATATTTTATTAATATAATTAAACAATTGTTTTTTTTAATTTTTGTAAAATATGTTCATTTCAGAAACTAGATGTTAGTCTAGCCAGCGGACCGAACACGCATTAATTTGGTTACACGTTTCATGATTTACAGTATTCGTGAAGAATATTTAACAATTAGCCACAATAAGAGCCTTTGGTAGGCGTAGAGGGAATGATAAGCATAGACTTGCTAAGTATTTTCTGATATTCATGCTAGCTCAAAAGAAACTTTGATTTATGTTTGTAGTACACCCCCCAAAACAGGGATTACACAAGTGATATATTAAGATGACATACAACTTATACATACTTACGTGTATAAACTACTATCAATCAGTGAGGATAACAGGTGTTTGCAAAAAGGTTAGCATATCCTGCACCACCGGTGGAACAAACACATGCAAAGGCAAGCAGAGAATTTCATCGGACATAACTCCATTTGCTACTTCTGTGTTAGTCACCAATCAACCAATTTATACTTCCAAAAATAGCTTTAACCATTTTAAAGCTTTTGAAAAATTCAAAAGTATGGGTATGGTCTGACAAAGCAAGAAGCACAAATGGGGCATGTTTCGGCCAATGATTAAGGTGTTCTTGCAAGTCTAAGGGTCCAACAGGAGTTATTTCTGCGACATGCAATTTCAAAACCCAAAATTCAGAGTGCTATTTATGGATAGAAAATTTGAAATGATACAAATATAAATTCCTTCCAGGCGAAGGCTATCACTTGAAATCAAAATAACAAAGCAGATGTTAGTCAAAGACACATCTCTTGGGGTAGAAGTTCATCTCTGTCACCATTCTATGGTATTTCTTGAAAGGTAAGTTAACTTACAAAGTTGTAATATACGTGAAAGGTATAATGTTGCTGATTAAGCGCAAAGATATAAACTCTCACTGACTGCTCAGTAACATTCATGTAATATTAATAATATTCAAATAAGTGTACTTGTTCTTGGTGTGTGTGACGTGGATACATATATATAAACAACCAATGTATTATGATCAGGGTCCATTGGTATCCCTTCAGCAAGTGCGAATCAGGTCCTAACATATCTGTTTTGTCATGTATCACGCGCTATACAGTCAAACCTCGCTTATCCGGACAATTGCTTTTTCTAAAATGTTATCCGGATAAACGAGTTTCTGGATATCTGAATACCTTGTTAACTGTCCAGAAGTCCTTCCCCTACCTCAATTCTACGGAGGCATATGTGAAATGAATGGCCAAAATATGATTTATGAAGGATCGACCAATTACTAAAAAAATACATTTTTACTGTACAGACCTACGCAGCATGCTGTGACAGCGCACTGCATTTTTGAACGAATTTAAGAAATGCATATGTAACCTAGTTTAGACAATGCACTTGTCTGCACAGATGTGACGGCGAGGTTAGGGCAACCTGACACACATGAGCATTAATAGCCACGTTTACCTGTACGAGTGGACTGCCAAGGTTGTTTCGCAGGTAGGTTTTGTTGAGATTTGTTATCTTGTTCTCTCTTTACCCTCTACTTCCCTAATCACAATTTAAATCCTAAATAGACTTTCGGGCTTAACACTGTCGCTATTTTAGACCCTCTGTTTCTGTATTTACTTGAGCTCATTTCCCCTAATGTTTATATCATCTCATAAGACTAAGTCATCAATGATGTCAAAGCTGCCTGACATGTTTCTTATGACTAGTTTATGAAGCTAAACAATGTCCAAGTGACTGAAGCACAAAAATACGCGCTATCCAATTGATCGACGTTTGTATGTGCTTTTTGGGGAGAGGGGGTGTATTAGATTACTAATGAGATGGTGACAAGGCTCAGGTTATGAAATAATCTGAACTCACAGTCTTGAATTACTACACAATACACTGCCTGGGACCCAAGCTTCAATGGCTAAAGTGTGCAAAGATTGTTTGTGAATGAGATAAGCTATATTGTTAGATTTAATTCTCAAGATAGTAGTTCTTGAAATGCATGACGTAGCAGTCCCCTCGTGTACTCAATATATGCTATTTCAGTATCCAAGTATCTTCAGGCGACATTTCCCAGACAGTGGAAAATATTCATCCTTATTCCAACACAATATTTACAAGAAAATGAGGAAAAGAGACAAACGATTTCTGTGACGAGTGAAGCACTGTATGTGTGTGTACGTGCGTGTGTGCGTGCGTGCGTGCGTGCGTGCGTGCGTGTATATATATATATATATATATATATATATATATATATATATATATATATATATTGTGCACTATGTTTCAACAATGACTTCAATTGTAAAGTGTTCATTTCCGATGCGCGATATTATGTTTAATTGTATACATGTATAGCATAAGTGTGTGAGTTGGGTTTAACGCGGCTTTTAACAGTATTCCAGTTATATCACGGCGTGTCAGCTTAATGTGGGAGGAAAGCCCGAAGTGATGCAGGTATTGGACGTTTACCTCTTCGGTGAAACCCACGAGCATGGGTATGGTGCTGACAAACCTAGAAACATAACCGGGATTCGAACCCACAATCATTGGTTTCTGGCGTGCCCAAGAGACGCAAATCTGCACAGCGAATCGCCGCGCCTAAGACGACTGGGCCACCCGTGCCCCCACATGTATAGCGTGGAAGTGACAATAAGTATGGCACTTGTGCCCCATCACTTTGTCTCCCTGGACAATAAAATATATTTGGAACAAATAAAAAAACCCACATACATCATACCATATTACGGTTAGGTCTACTAATGCCTACAGTGACAAATGCCTACAGTGACTAATGCCTACAAAAGTTGTTGTTTTAGTGTACACACTGTTTCACGCACCCCTGCACTCCAGTGGTCTACTCTACTTAGTGTTCACTAATGCCTACATTGTAAACACAGACTAATTAATGCCTTAGAAATGTTACTGGGATTGTGAAAATATTTGACCTTTGTATAAATATATTTTCTTAGATGGTATTGTACTTTGATAACAGGAGCAGGAAATATGGATTTTCTGTCAAATGAGAGAAGAAGAATAATGTGCTAAAGTAATTGATGATAACTTTGAGAAGGAAATTTTCCAGTATAAAATATAGTTATCGAGATCTAGACATGGCAAACCTGAAGAAGGTCCAGTATCATATGTCACAAAAAGGTGGTCAGCAAGTCCTACTAGATGGCTACAGGTACAGATTCAACATGAATACTTGAATCCATACCAGTATTATATAAAAAAACCACAGGTCTCCCAACAATATTTTTATTCTGGGTAGTATTCATTTTATCACAAACCTGTCATACAGTTTCATTATATGCTTTCCTTATTATTAAACTTTGTTGATCTTCATTTTTTATTGTACTCATAATAGTTTAAATGCGATTTGCAATTGTTGATGCAGCAAGAAGGGCCGAGCATGATCTCGAACGATGTGGTCCCGGCAGCATACGCCATTAAAGTTGTCATAAGTTGTGATGCAACCATCTGCCATTACACTTCCACCCCCAAACTGACGACGTTGAGTAACGCAAGCGTCGCTAAAACGTTCTCCTGGACGCCTGTATACATATCCTTACACGATCAACAGAGTTGTAATGAGTGTTGCTCGGCTGTAGATAACGTCTCAAAAGAGATCATATTGTGATTCGATGTACATTAGCTTGTCTGGCAACTTCGTTTTGACACATTCCTGTTTGCAGCATACCCGCAGCCCGCAGGCGTTGCTTATCAACAAGCCGTTTCAACATTGCGTAAGCGTTATTTACGGTTGAATATAAGTGTTTTTATGAGCACGCAAAGTCATCGATCTAACACACTCAGCCACCACAATGTGGGAGTGGGTGTCACATGGTCGTAAAACTAGTTATAGTCACAGTCTAGTGCCTGCACCGCTTTAATTATCAGGTTGCGGACACTGTTTGGCAAAGCCCAAACCCTTCCAATACTCATCCCGTTCCACATCTTTTAACCACAGTAAACTACGGTTATAACGAACATGCTCTAACGAACTGACGGATATAACGAATATATTTTCAGTCCCGACCATTTGCTGTATATATGTTGTATATATGCTTATAACGAACTACGGTTATAACGAACTAAATTAGCCACCCCTTTGAGTTCGTTTTAACCGTGGTTTACAGTATTCCATCATTTTGCCAATCAGTACATACATGTGTGATGCAGGACATATTTCAGTTAGGTACAATAACAATAATATCCAGTCACTGATAACATGAGCATCGATCCACGCAGTTGGGATACGATTACATGCATCAACCAAGTCAGCGAGCCTGACCAACCGATCCCCCTGATAGTCGCCTCTTACGACAAGCATAGTCACCTTTTACGGCAAGCCTAGGTTACTGAATACCTATTCAATACTTGTACATGTACTTGGGTAAAAAACACATACAAATACAAGCAGAGTAAGTGAACTGAGAATGACTATAGATATAACTCAGGCCAGCCACAGCATAAGAACAAAGCTGTCGGGATACCTGAGGTCATTAAAGTTCAGTTCACAGACAAGGGCAATATTGAATAGATAATCGAAGTGGATAAGTGGGGTTGGGCAGAGGCAATCATATTGTCCAACTTATACAAAGGCATCTTCTTTAAGGCGATACCGCTCTATATGTGTACATACTTGGCAAACGTAATATATTCGTATTTCCAATTACCTCAACCCGATTTTAAGCCTATATGCCTTCATTGTCACGACATCTAAATTATCGAAGGTATGGTCTTGAATAAACATTTCGCTTGATTCGAATCACGGATAACTCGATAGGGGCAAAAGAAAGGGTACCGATTTTCTTATTTCATGAACTGAAAGAAATGTTATTTCTAACCACATGACCTCTACTATGGTTGAAATGTTAATGTGTGCCGAAAAAGGCAATTGTACTGATAAGATGTCTAAGATAATCAACAGCAGTTATTTATTATTGATTTCTTTTTTAATTTTTAAGAAAATTTTTAAATCCAATAATAATAGATATGTCAACCAATCTTTGATTAACATTAGGAAGAACATCCTCAGACTATTTTCAGCTATCAGGTGTCTTCAATGCGCCGCCGCTTACTCGTCTGTATCAACGCAAATGGTGGTCACACCCGTTACTGACATTGTTAATAGAGTTGTTACAGTACCCCAGTTCTAGGGCGTGTCGCTCTGTTCCTTGCTACCAGGTGTGGGTTTTGGCGATGGATTTGTTATGATAAAACATTGATCAAACAATTGACCAAATATTATGTTGATATTTTGAATAAAATATTAACATTTACACAATTTTGTATGAACCATAGTCACCCCCACCCCCCACCCCTGCAAGTATACGTTTCCAGCTTTACATTTTTGAATTGGTTCTCAAAATGCCAGTACGCAGGCATTCAATGTCAGCATCAAACTGGCAGAAAAATAAAAAAGGTGATACATGGCAGTGTATGTAAATGTTTGACAATGATTGTAACTGTGTTACATTGTTTCTGTTGAGATTCGATAGACGCTCATTGTATTGTGTTTGGATAGTGATTAATCGTCAGGAATTTGCTATATTTAGAAGCTGGTGTGGTGTGTAAAGGATGTTACCGAAGTTTATATGATTGTCTATGTTGTGAGGGCACTGTGAGGTACTTTCCATTAGCTAGTTAGACTATATAAGGACACAAAAGCGTGTTTGCGTATCTTTCACGCATATTGATCACATCGGATCCAGCCTTCGTGTGAGGATCGCTCATCATTCCCTGCCTAGACCATCCTGGTAGCTTGACCACTGTCGCCGCTGGGTGAATATATATAATTTATCGCTGACTTTTTTATAACCACTGTATTTTTGTATTTGATACTGACCACTGTCTTCATATTATATACTGTCGTTGAATATTGTACTACGTACCGCTCTATTGTTTACTGTTATTGTAATTGATGTGCTGTAATTCGTGTTGATTTGAAAACCAAGTTAAGTTTGTAATACATTTGTTGATTGTATACGTTCTTTTACGTACATATTTCAGGGTTAACATATTGTTTCAATTTGGGAATCGACAAAGGCGTAAACAAGAGTTCCACACAGTGCACAAAAGATTATATATGAACTCATAAGGCCTCATTGCTATGATATTTTGTTATCAAAGGGGACAGAAGAACCAGTTGGTATTGAGAAGTGAATATTCTTTAGATTATCAGAAGGGGTGTTATTGGTGTGTCACCAAACCCAACAATGTCAATATCGGACTCACAGGGCAAAAGAGAAGACTTGTTTCCCTTATATGTCGTTATAGAACGGGCGGTTAAAGTGCTTCACCTTGTTGACTTGGTGTTATCTGACCCCAAAGGCGTGCACTTTTAGTCGTGTAATCAGATGCTGTTTTAATTGGTTCTCGCTTTTCGCGCATCATCGTATATATGTCAGTCTCACAAAGAACGTGCTCTTTATATATAGATCGTGTTGCGTCGCACGTATGAAGGTTGTTTGAAAGACTGTCATCTCGGTGGGGCAGCTTAAATGTGCTCAGAGATAGCGATGTATGGTTGTGCTCATTTGGTGTAGCTACGCTGTAAGAGATAACGTCTTATAATGTAGGTTTATACAAATATGGTTTCATATATACTGATGTTGATGGACTAGTAATTAATTGTCACTACTACTATATCAGATCAAGCCCAGTACTTCATGCATTGGATTATATAATCTAGAATTTACATTCTCCGGGCTTACATTTCTCTAAACGATGTTTTGTGTAGTTGATTTGGTCTCCTTGAATTCCAATATTTATTTGAGTGAGCCATATCAAGGTAGGTTGACCGTTTTATGCTTTTTTTTGCAGCTGTTCAGATGCAATCTGCCTGTATAAGACATGTAATCATATCCGGATAAAGAACGGTTGGCTATGTCGACGTTTAAGTTTAGTTACATGTTGTCCAGCCCGGTTATGTGTTCAGAGTTTACATGAAATATTTTGAAAAGATGTTACTAGGAAACATTTAGGCACGATAGTTGTGATGTGTCTTAGGTGTACATTAGAAGGTTTAACTGGTCATCCAATATTTTAAATTTGTTTCTCAAAATTTGCTGAATTGCTTATTTCAGTTTCGAAAGCATTATTTTTGAATTGTTGCTGTCGTTTTCAGAAAAGAAGTATTGATAATGCATTACGCGTAATAATAGTCAATTCGACGATTCCGACTATGTCATATACACGTGTTTATGAATCACTATCAAATGTTGGTGATACCAGGCGTTTGCGAAAAATTGGAACGTAACTATCCTGCCACAACGGTCACAAACACATGCAAAGTCAAGTGAACTATTCACCTGAAGACAAACGACATTTAAAAATATGGTACAAGTAAAAAAATAGCATAATTTTGGTCACTGTTGCGTCAAGTTTGGTAATGTCCTCCACATGTCTAAGATTAAAATTTTGAAAGCTTTACTGAGGCCTTGAATGTTGATCTGTTGATGCGCTCTTTCACATGCGCTCTTTGAAATTTTTTTAAAAAGGGCATGCTCCATTGTACCTCAAAAGTTGTGTCGACAGCAAAGGCTGGAGCTGTTGGAATATTGCCATCATGAAGGGGAAGTTGACTATTGAACAATTTCTTTTATTTCCACTTCAGAAGCGTAAATCAGTGGAACGGAATGGCCTGTTTGGCCATTATTGAACAATACGTCAGGGCGTCAGTACACACTCATGTAGCGTCAACGTTGAAATATCAGAAATATGGAAATAAGTTCAAAATACATTCAGCAACACCCAAATTACCTAACTAAAATCCAATAAAATAGTAGTAGGTATTTTATGATTCAATATCGTCCTCACCAATGATGAATAAGACCATAGAAGGGACAGTCTTGTTGCGATATGCATAATGCTTCTTATCAATAATTATCCTCACATTCATACTTGTGAACTGTGTGTGTTCGTTTCGTAACATGAATTAAATCTAATTGTTCGTAACCTTTCATTCAATGACAGGTATCATAGTGCTGTATTAGTGAACACGCACATGTATATTTTCCTGAGTTATGTAGTTGTGACAAAAGATGTGCATTTGAATTAATTTCAAAATGAAGAAAGTACATTAAATTTTAATGCTGTTTGCAAATCCTAACTTCTGGCTTAACTATTCATGTTGAACTTGAGCTGGAACATTTTGATAAATATATCCTTATTAGTAGGTACATTTTTCTATGTATGAAATGAATTATCCTATTTCAGCACTTGACAGATATAAGAAGAAGGCAGACACGAGACCTGCACCTCAAGAATGTCCATCCGTGTATTCTCTTCAGCGATACGAACACATTTACATATTCACAAAATACATGCAGCTGTATCTGTGAGATACTATGCAGGTCTTCCAAAAGCGTATATGCCATATGGAAACACTGGAGACGGAAATTATGGATCAACACTCGGAAAGCAGAATGCTGGCTACATGGAACCAGTACGAGACAAGATCCTTAACTTGGTCAAATCCATTACATTCACTGCCAAAGACTCAGTGTTCAACATAGGCGACTATGGCGCAGCTGATGGCTCTGCTTCCATGGTCATCATTGGGCAGATGTTGGCAACTCTGAAAGATCAGCATGGTCCAGAGGCATCTATGAAGACTTGGAATTGAATGATTTCAATTTCCTGTTCAAACGTATGTCAGGAATCATTCCTGAACCGCCTTCATACCTTCTGGAAATGGACAACGTCTATGTTCTCGCTGCTGGGACCAACTTCTACAAACAATGTGTACCTTCAAATTCAATGCATTTCCTCATGTGTATGGTCGCTGTTCACTGGCTGTCGAAGACTCCAACAAACGTTAAGGACTCAATTTACAAATACCCTGAGGGTAGTGCCGAGGAGAAGATGGCTTTAGAAAAACAGTCTGAGGTCGACTTCGAGACCTTCTTACTTTTGAGAAGTCGAGAATTTAAAAAGGGAGGCCTACTTGTCATTTATGCCGGCTGTGAGTATGAAGATGGAAATAGTGGAAAAGTCAAGTATCTTTCTGAGACGTTCATAACGTTACTCACTGAGGTATGGAAGGAATATAGAGAATCTGGGAAAATCTCAAAAGAAGAATTTTTTAATACAATTTTTTCAGTTTGCCTTCACAGCATGGCTAAGATGAGAAAACCATTCGATGACAAAATGTCAGCAGTTTCCAAATCCGGACTCTGTCTCTTGTCAGCTGAAACGGTTATCAACCCTGACATATTTTACACAACATGGAGGGAAAAGAAAGACAAGGAAGGGATTGATGACAGGGAGGAGTTTGCCAGGATGCTCAAGTCGGCCCATAGGAACTGGAGCAATAGCACCTTCATGAACGGCCTCTCAGACTCCCGCTCACAGGAGGAGAAGAAGAAGATAGAAGAAGATAGTGGATGAGTTGTATGACGTTGAAAAACGAATTTCAGAAATGAGTCCCGAAGAATTCAAGGATGATGTACGATTAATATATCTTGTGATCAGAAAAGAATAGTCAGCTCACAATCCTCAAGAAGAGCAAAACTTTGAATCATGTGAACAGACATACATGCAAAACAACTGATACCATGTGATCCATTTTAATTCTTTAATGTCCTTAAAGACTTCAAAATTCAGGAAGCACAAACAATTTCACATACTGACACCATTTCACCCAAGTTGTTTAACTTTAGGAACGTGGATTTGGCATGTTGTGATGTAATTCCACTACATGTAGCTGCTAGACTGATCATACTGCTTCCAACACGGTGGTCATACATGATAACAAGTGTTTTTTTCTATTGTTGACAATGACAAGAATGACAACCTTCATCGGTTGTTCAAGTATGGACCAATATATCGTGAGCAGCGTTGTGCCGATTGCTTTCTCAACTTTAAATAATTATGGATGTTGACGAGGCATATGCCAAAAATGGGCACAAAAAGAAGAGGAACCTGTCTTTCTTGGGGTCAAGTCAGTGCGTGATTTCACTGGTAGAAGCACAAACTAATAAAAGGGAACCAGAATTGGATTTAACATATCCTGGCTGCCCGATATGAAATGTTTGTAGTTGTTCCCAAAAGCAAAGGCCTCAAATAGCATTACCATTGTATGTTAGCATCACTATATTAATGACAATGGTAATCGTGAACTGTTCTTAGGCCAAAATACCCATAATACAAATGGTTTTACTTATATAACATGGTTTTAACTTCTTGTTGTATATTTCCATGGATGTTGTGTTGAACATAGTATACACGAATTTAGTAAGCATTAATATTGTTTTCTTTTTATTTGATAAACAAATGGTTCTAATGTCATGACAATTAATGATATTAAAGTAAATGAAATGAAGAGTGTATATCATAATATATTGGGGACAGAGCAAGACCTCTTGTTCTTCATCTTCTAAAACATCATTTAATGCAACAGAATTATTTTGCAATTGGTGCCACTGCCAAGGGCCTCAAATCACAACCATTAAAACTTTTGTCATGACATGAGAGGAAAATATGAAGAGTGTGTATCATTTTATTGAGGACAGAGCAAGAGTACATGCTCCTCATCTTCTAAAACATAGCATTTAATACATTTAATACAGATCCTTTTATATGTACAGTACTTCAACGTTTCCGTAGTTTCTGAAAGCCTAATGCATTATACCCACTTCCAGATTGAAGCAATACCTTCTTATAGTTGATTTATTCTATATCATATTTGCAATCTTCTCTATTAAAATCACTTCTTCAAAGTAGAATAGAATGCTAACGATGGACTATTTATGAGTTTGTAATGCCAATCTTGATTAGAACCATCAATCAAAATTTGTTTAAAGATGCCAAGAAACAGATTTGTCACCAACGTCTTGAACAAACCACAAGAAAAGCAGATTTATAATATGTGTAGCCCAAATTGGGTGTATTCTATTGCAAGTTTGTTTTAGCGTGTCATATCATTGAAATGGATATCTGTCATGTGGCATTGAAATCAGACGGAGCCAATGCCGAATACAATTCACATGAAGAATAATCAACATATGTGGCAAGATTTGGTAACTGGAAACTAGTATTTAGTACACATTTACAGAACTTTCAGTGAACAACTTCGATAATTTTACTCCTCATATCTCACCTCCATAACCCAAAATTGGTACAGTCCTCTGATCAAATTTTCGAAAGCATATCTGGCAGTCACATTGTGTTTTATATTAAAGTTTTTGTCAGAATGAGAGTGTGACGGAAGTGCACTATATGCCTTTGTCCAAATACTTTTATCATTTTAAGTCATTATTGATCCTAAATATTTATGTGCGTTAACAACTTTCATTACTCCTCCATTATATGACCACTACTTATAATTTGATCTGGTTGTTTAATTAATTTTCAAAACTTTTATAATCATGTTTTTTATGATGCCTTTGCTGTTCTGGCCGAATTGTTCTGGAAACTGGCTTTAGAGTACGAGTTATGGGTCAGATGATTAGATATCATTTACATGGAAATCATCTCCATGCTCAACGTCCCCATGTTGCACGGCCTCTTACAAATCGTCATATTGCCAACATACGTCATTGGTGTACCCAACGTCGAAACTGGGGTAATCGTTGCTGGTCACGTGTCATGTTTTCAGATGAGTCCCGATTTACTTTGCACTTTCTAGATAGGCGAGGTCGCATCTGATGACAGATATGGCAGTGGATCCGTTATGGTGTGGGGTGGCTTCAGAATAACTGAGCAAAACCTCACTCATTGTGCAGTCCCCATGAAGAATCCGGGTTAGACCCATGCTTGTCGTACGGGATCGGGTGGTCAGGCTCGTTGACTTGGTTGATGCATGTCATCATATCCCAATTGCGTTTATCGTTGCTCATATCACTGGACTGTTTGGTCCAGAAGGCCGCCATCATATAGCTGGAATATTGCTGATTCGGGTGTTAGGCAACAAACACTGACTTTCGTCATGGGAATTGTGCTGGAGACGGGAGCCATCAGTAGGACAGGACATGTTTAATATTTTCATTAACTTCTGGTGTCATTTTCAGTGACTTCATATTTTTGGTCACTATTTTGCTTTTTACGCCCTAAGGAATCTGTTCGGTGGTTATTCAAGACTGATCATCTCTGTCGTTGACGTTTTGAAACAGCTTTACTACCGACAGTAAACTCCCTCTAAAAGTCTACCTATGCTGTTCGGGACGGTCGGGTAAACTAGGAATTAAAGCGTTCGCTCCCTACGCTGAAGACCCGGGTTCGATTGCCGATATGGGTACAATGTGCAGCCCATTTCGTGTGTCCCCCGCCGTGATATTGCTGGATAATTGCTAAAAGCGGCGTAAAATTATACTCACTCACTCACTCACTCACTCACTCACCTATGCTGTTCATTTTGGAATAATTTATAATTTGAAGTTTACACGATATACGGCCTTTCCATTGTACGAGAGGTCGGTCACATGACCGCGAAATTGACGTTCATAAGTGTATGAACGACACAATTTGACGTTCATACGTTTTTCATGAGACCGTGTTCTTGAAATGACGTAAACACTGACGGACTACTTCCATATTCCTGGGGAAACCCCTGGGAATTCCCTAGCACGAAAACATACATAAGCGTTCTTTCTGATCATTTAGAACCTTTATTCTTGGTCTCAGCGTTTCAGTATACATTGAGAAGTGTCAGAGAGCGTGACTGCATAATTGTTCACGAATATCCTCTCTGCGGCCTACCCTAATGAACAAACGATGAAATGCACATCTAAACTATCGTTGTATCGACTCGATCCGTGCCTAGGCTGACACTGACCGTCTCCAGCAATCTAAGAATTTGCCTTGGTGTCTGTTTGACGCATCTTTATTCACCTTTCAATGATCAGTCAGTTGATCAATGGTGACTAACACATGTAACCGCCATAGGTTCATTAACAACTTCGGAAATCTCTCCCGTCACGTTTATCGTGTCGGCCATTTTGACGTCTTGTACTTGATGTAAATGTATTACGACGCGCTGTCATTGTGACTGACTTACTCAGGTAGTTCTTTACAGACCTTTCTCATCTAATGAGGATATGATTTGAACACATGTGCTGCGTGAGATAGTCCTGAAGAGCAAGTTGTGCATCCATACGCCCATGTCACCTCTCTTTTTGAGTAACTATTTTACTCCGCGATATAGCTGGTTGTTGTATGGCTGTCAGTGTAAACATGAAGTCACATGTACTAAATAAAATTGTGTTTAGATTTTGGCCTACCTCCTTTGAGGTAAGAAATTGTGATAAAAAATTTATAAGAATTGACTTTCACTTTGTTTGAGTTCATTGGGGTATGAACCTTCATAGAGTGAAGGCCAAACATTGTATGAACGTCGTCGCAAGCTCCGACGTTCATACAGTTTGGCCCTCACTCTATGAAGGTTCATACTCCAATGAACTCACACAAAGTATAGGTCAATTCTTAAATAAACTATAGTCAAGCTGCGGCTTTTGCATTGAACTAATGTTCACAGAAGCTAATAGAATGACATGTCAACATACAATGTTGTCATTGTCACCGTGTCCCATGTAGGTGTGACGTCTCTGGTGCAATGTGGTAACATACGGATGGTTTTGCTACATCGATAGAAATAACAGTCATGCATGTCTACTGATGTAGGTTAAGATGGTACCATTAATATATCACTGTTGTTACTGTTACGTACAATCTTGGGATAACAAAAACAACAACAACATCTTAATTTTTTTTCTGTACAATCTTCGAATGTGATGTTTTCTCTGTTAAGGACCTTTCTTACCAACTGTCAGTCTATCAGACCACGGCAAGCCCGTTACGGCCGTTCTTACTGCTACCTGACTGTGGGTGGCTTACTAACTTCTAGTCCCTAAAAAGAAAACATTTATCCGAAAATACAGTTAAGTTATCTAAATAAAGTATAATAAAAATGAGCCCAGAGACTATTTTCATTTACATGACCTGAGGTAATCTAGGCTTGCCAACTATTTTACTTGGGATGTCTAGTGTTTATTTGTTTCAGGGTCTGTATGACAAGGGTGCACGTGCGTTTTGATAGGTTATGTTTGTGTGTGGTTTAAGTTTGCTGGCTTATCCAGGGTATTGTCCATTCATAGTTTCTTTAATGGCCGCAAAAACATTCAAGTCGTAAGTTATGAATAGGAGATTATGTCTCTCTTTGCTTCAATATATGTCTTAGCATAAAATCGTGTGTACAAACTGGTCTCTATCTACAAAGTCATTACGTAAGTTGGGGCGGTCGGGTAACCTAGTGGTTAAAGCGTTCGCTCGTCACGCCGAAGACCCGGGTTCGATTCCCGACATGAGTACAATGTGTGAAGCCCATTTCTGGTGTCCCCCGCCGTGATATTGCTGGAATATTGCTAAAAGCGGCGTAAAACCATACTCACTCACTCACTCCATTACGTAAGGTTCAGCAAGGGACAGCTTATTGAATGTCTTGAGTATGTTCGCGTATACTCCGGCTAATTCATGGCTTATTACTGATGTTGTTTATATTATTGGACCGAATATACCTTTTACAAATTCATGTTCCTCATATTGTTAAACACATTTTTGAGAGAATTAGAAAACACAACTTTATGGATAACAGCCTATGGTTTACTGCATTGAGCAAAGTTTCGATGTAGATTCTGACGCCATTTCAAACTGGAGTGACTACAACCAAGTGATGAGAGGTATATTTCATAACGAATTTATTATGCCGAAAAGTTTACACTCTCTGGTGTCCATATCGCACGTGTCATGTCAAAATGAAAACTTGACGCTTTCAACCGCACGTTGACGTGAACGGTCAAAGGGAGGCTACTCTTTAAACCTTAGAGGCCAAACCTTGTTGAACATTTTAACTATAATATTTATCAATAAAGTCACGAACGTGATCTAAAAACAGATTAATGTCCTTGCAGATCACAATTAATGACAGTAAAACACAAAACAATGTCAAACAAGAGTTTGCCACTAACGTGGCTATATCCCCCGCCCCTGTTGCATAATTTATGACATAATTAAATCTAAACAAACCCTTACCTTTTTTAACCGAGGCGGAACTTGTCATGGAAATTGTAAAAAAGTCCATCTTGTTGCCATGGAAACGTAAAAAATAAAAATTTCTAAAATTTCTAAACAGCAAAAAGCACCAGTTCAGCATGTACCTGACAAACCTGCAAAGTTTCATGAAAACATATTGAACGGTTTATGAGTTATGCTCCGGAAACGAACCCTACCCTGACAGAACCTAAGTCCATCT